TAGCAATTCAAAAAAGGCAAAAAAGGACCAACGATCAAAGTCTTAGCATCTTTTTTTTGTAGTTTTTTTCTTTTTTTTTTAATCTGACAAAATAGAACGTAGCAATTCAAAAAAGGCAAAAAAGGACCAACGATCAAAGTCTTAGCATCTTTTTTTTGTAGTTTTTTTTTTTTTTTTTTGGTTCACCATAAGAAAAACCAGTGGGCTGATGACAACAAATAACTTCAAGAACAGACACCACAAATTTTCCGAGTGAATCTGGACACAAATATGAACACTGCAGATGCTGACCCCAAACAGTGGGCTGATGACAACAAATAACTTGAAGAACAGACACCACAAATTTTCCGAGTGAATCTGGACACGAATATGAACTTATACATTCAGGAAACTCGTAGTGTGTCTGGACTTGAATACAACCACATACATTCAGGAAACTCGAGTGTGAGTATGCCTGAGAACCACCCACCTGAGCATTCAGGGCTCCAGACGAGCTCTTTTAACACAAAAAAAAAAGACTTCTGCGACTGAATAATCTGTGCTTTTAGGACCGCATACGTTCAGGAAATAGAAGAAATACCTATTGTGAGTATGCCCTCTTGCCTACAACCCAGCTGAGTATTAAAGGCTCCAGAAGAGAGATGCTTAAACTTTTACGTTATCCACAATCACAATCTTTATAAATGTCATACAAGATTTAGAAGATTTAAAATTAAAAACATAAGAAGATTAAAAAATAATTAAAATTATCAAAGCTACTATGTAATGAATCGTACACAGTTGTCCTCCTCTTCTTTACTTGACAGCTTCAACCTTTTTTTTTTTTTTTTTTTTTTTTTTATAACAAAACTGGCCATCGGGGTACGCAGCTTCAACTTGAAACAACGGAAAAGAGAGGCTAAGCAGATAGTGAGGGGGTTAGGTTAAGGGAGAGAGGCTCAGACTCTCAGGGGAGACTGGCAAGCAGAGCGTGAGGGGGGGGTAGATCAGGGAGAGAGGGCAGGCTTGGGGAGGGCAGACTTGCAATATGACTTTCTCGGATGTATTTGTGCACACTCAACACCACATTCAGTCAAAAAAGTACAAGTCCAAAAATGCACTCAAAAACGAAAGCACAAAAGGAGAAAAGCAAGAACAAGGGAAAGGAACGGAGGAGGAGCAGACGGAAGGGAAGAGAGGGAGAGGCAGAGAGGGGAGAGGAAGAGTATGAGGAGACTAGTAGTGGTACAAGGAGGAGGAGAAGCAAAAGGAGGACGAGGAGGAGGAGGAGGAGCACAAGTGGCAGTGGCATCAGGAAAAGGATGAACACAGGAGAGCAAAGAGCGGGAGGAGGAAAAAAAGGAAGCAGTGGCACTTGGAAGAGGAGGAAGAGGGGAGAAGGAGGAGGAGAAGGAGGAGAAGGAGGAGGAGAAGGAAGAGTTGCAGTAACAGAAGCAGTAGCAGTAGCAGAAGAATGGAATGAAGAGAAGGAAGAAGAGGAGGAGGAGGAGGAGGAGGAGGAGGAGGAGGAGGAAGAATGGGATGAAGAGAAGGAAGAAAAGGAGAAGAAGGAAGAGGAGGAAGAGGAGGAAGAGGAGGAAGAGGAGGAAGAGGAGGAAGAGGAGGAAGAGGGGAAGGAGCAGGAGAAGAGGAGAGTGCGAGCGAAGCAGCAGGATGAATAGCGGTAGCAATGGTGGCACTATGGCAATGGTAGTAGCAGCAGCAGCAGCAGCAGCAGCAGCGGCAGCAGCAGGAGGAAGAGGAGGAGGAGGAGGAGGAGGGGGCGGAGGAGTTGGAAAATAAGTTACAAAAATACTCAATAATAAAATCGATGAGTACGTGGTTCAGACTTCATGGCAAGTAAGAAAGCAGGGGAGGGGGGCACAAATAAATGCAAATAGGAAACAAAATAATACCTACTGAAGAAAACTGGGAAAAGGGAAAGATGGGCGAGGACAAAAAAATGCAAAACGGTTCCCTTGACTAAGCATCAAACCTGCATCTCTAGTGTCGGCCGAGCTCAGCACGATGCACGAGCAGCTCACAGCACCATGGACCACACCTCGGACGTGGCAGAACGCCAGAGCCTCCAGAGCCCCTTTCATAAGAACCTGCTTTGTTGCCAGCAGAGGGGGCAGGGACGGGGTGCCGGGGGGAGGGCGGAGGCAGGTGCAGGGGGAAGGGGGGAGTCGGGAAGGGGGGAGGGGGGAGAAGAGAGTGGTGGTAGGGATAGTGGAGGGTTAAGATTGAGGTCATAGACACACAGACAACAAGAAAACGCCCGTCGGGCGAGGAGATGCATCAGTCAAAGTGAACACTAACTCTTATCGAGGGAAAAAATATATATATATATCTAAAAATAGAAAGAAAAAGAAACGCCAACAAGTTAAACATCCAATGTGCACATGATGTGTGTGGACTATGGATGGCTCCCATTGCGTGCCAAGACAGCAGGGGGGGGAGGGGGGGAAGGGGGGAAAGGGGGGAAAGGGGGAGGAGGGGGAGGAGGGGGAGGAGGGGAAAGGGAGGAAAGGGGCAGCATGGGAAAAGAAGACTTTCACGAGCAGCTTGGGAATTAAAACAAGATGCTATTTTGTGTCAACTTCGTATGGAGCTGGACAGCTTACCATCCAGGTTCATGCAAGGTTCTCTGGCAGTGTAAAAAAAAAAAAAAAATCCCCTTTATCTATAGGTGGCTCAAGGTTTCCATTAAGGCGTGTACGATCACAACGTGGGGTAGCAGATCATAAGACCAACGTTAGCTATCGTCTTTACCCGAATAGAACGCCCAGTCATTATAGAACAGCCGTATTTGGGGCAACTTTCGGACCAGATGGGCGTTCTATTCGGGTGAAGACGGTAGTTATGACGTGCACCAGATACGGTACCAGCTCTGGAGCTATGGCACCAGGACCGATGCTCAGGATGTGGCCACGATAGCGCAATGGCGGGCACCACTGCCGCCAAGCTATGGTGCTCATCCCTCGCAAACAAACGCCAGAGCAAAGTTGGTCTGAATCTTCTGATTGTGTTCCAAGAACGTTCGCCATCTAGGATGTGGATAATTTTGCGCACATGTGTACTCGTAATATAGTCCATACCACATTTACTCATACAGCCAAAACTTCCGACTCCACTTCGCAGTCCAGCTTACGAACTTCCAGCAACTAGCGGGACCACTTCAATTACCAGACATAAATAACATCATCATCGTCAACATCATCATCGACATTCGTCATCAACAATCGCCACCAAATCACAATTATCACCATCATCATCATCATCATCATCATCATCATCATACATCATTGATAATGATTCATTACCCATCATCGTCGTGAACACCAGCACAAATATCGCATCTGTGAGTTTTGTCATGGAGTGCCATTATGCTGAGGGGATTGCTAAGAGAGACAAAGGGATTCTTCTTCTCCTCCTTTTTTTCCCTTAAAAATATATATCAGAACTGCCCGATATATCGTCACAAACAGAATATATATATCGTCACAAACAGAATATATATATATATATATCGTCACAAACAGAATATATATAAATCTTAGACCACCACTACCCCTGCAGACAGAAGAAAACCCCTGCGGCCTTGGGATTGGGATCTGGCATCTGGACACATCAGTCCAACCAGCAGGGTAACTGAAAGAGGGCAGGCTTCCCAGGCTAACCTGGCCGGTTGAAAAAGGTGCTGATGGTTTACAGGGCATATATACTCACAATCGAAATTTATTTTGCTGGTTTCTGGACGTGGTTGCAGTCAGATGCATCTAGTCTGCATCTTGGGAAGTACTAGTGTGAGTATGCCCTAAGAGTAAGCACCAGAAAAGACAACACCATCGATAAGGTTTTATTACGAATTCCTGTCACAGGATCATCGGGTATAACTCGTTTCTCTCTCTCTCTCTCTCTCTCTCTCTCTCTCTCTCTCTCTCTCTCTCTCTCTCTCTCTCTCTCTCTCTCTCTCTCTCTCT